ACCATCTCTGCGGGACGGTTTAGGTCCGATTGGACCACCCAGTGGCAAAAGTATCAGCTGCGGTCTCAGAGCATTGAGACCACACGTCCGTATTGTCGCAACGTTGGCTCCTCCTCATCGTCAAAGTCTTCTTACGGTCCATGTCTTCATTGAGAAAACTGAAGGCAGTCAAGCCTAGGAAGCATGGCTAAAGACTCTAAAATTAACTTAGTCACCAGGCAGACAAACAGAAGTTGAATCCATGCTTGAATTCTCCCGCAGCGCACAGAGAACTACCATTTAGGTAAGACAGCGGTCCTTCTGCTACCCAGGACGCCTCAGCAAAGGGATACCTTTTCCAGCACCTCTGCACCTGACCAGAACTGGATGGGTGGAAGCTGCCAGCATAGCAATGGAAGTTTGGACCATGTGATTGTCGGTGTGGGGACAAGATCTCCAGCCTTCAGATTCGTGTTTTCCCAGATGTGCCAACATGGCTCTGTTAATAAATTGGAACTTTGAGCAATACTTTGCCTTGGACTCTGATGTACTTTTAGATGCTATTTGGAACCCTAACGCAGGGTCCATTTTGCCCAGTAGAGGTGGTATCTTTAATTCAACTATAACAGTGTTGATTACCCTGACTATTGTGAATGAGCCTAGATATTTGGGACCTAGTTTCTTACTAGGTTTTTGTAATTTTAAATATTTAGTGGATAGGTATACCTGATCCCCAACCTGGAATGGTTTATGGTCTGCCCTCCTCTTGTCAGCCTGTTTTTTATATTCTTTGCCTCCCCAAAGCATTCATTCAGGATCTCCATGGTATTACTTCCAGGGCCAGTGAAGTAGTTCCAGTCCCCCTCTTCATCCTCAGTCCAATGTGTCTCTTTCCATCCCTGCATTGGCGCTCCAACCCAAGGGGGTGTTGGTAACCTAGGTCATCCAGTCCCAGTCAATGCAGAAGTATGCCACCACTCCCCAGATGCTGTGGACCCGTTCCCATTCCAGGAGCCCCTTTGCCTTCCTTCCATAAGACCATTAGTCTGATGCTGACATTCCTTGGGCCTCATGATGGGTTGAGCAGCAATCCTCCCAGGTCTCCACAAGATCCTCTTTCTCTTTGGCCACAACTTCCGTCTCCAAGCCCTCCTTTGATGTTCCATCCATCTGATAATACAGCAAAATGACTCTAAAGCTGTCCAAAAAGCATGTACTAAATGTAGGAAGGAGCTCTGACTTTCTCTCAGCTTGTCTAGGTCTGCCTCGTGCGTGATGAACAAAAAGCCAGGATTCAGTAACAACAACAAAGAGCTTTCTTTAATCCAGTAACAAGGCAGAGCCTAAGAACACAGCAAGTACTTGAAGCAGTTTAAAGTCAGCGCTGGGAGCCTCTGCCTACCAGCACTTTTTATTTCATCACAGTCCATACCCTAACCCTTAGTCACCATCCAATACTCCCAACTCCCTCCCCCTCTCAGCTGTGTGGAGTGCTTTTGGCTGTACCTTCCAGCCAATGGGACGTCATCAGTGTGCAGACGGCCATTGGAGGCTTTGTGAAGTTCTGTAGCTGCTAACCTCACTCTGCAGTTAGCCTTCTTTGCCGGTAGGTAATTTGACATCGGCATTACCAATTGCTGTCTCTCCCCCACCGGAGAATGTCTAGCCTCAACTTTGGGCTCAAAACAGCTGTTCCAGTCCTGTGGTTGATCCCTGGTTTGCTGCTCCTGCCTTTTGTTGTTTTCTCTGCCAGCTCCCTTTTGTCCTTCGGTGCTCCGGTCTTTTCAACTTTGTCCTTGCTCTATTCAGCTCTCTTAGCCTGCTGTGCAGCTTTCCAGACAGTTCAGCTCTGCTGTTTGGTCTGCTCCAGTCAGCTCCACCTTCATTTTCCCCGTTGCTCTCTGAGGTGCTTTCAGGCTCTGCTCACCACTGCCCTGTGCTGCTGCTGGCTCTCCTCCCTGCTGTGTTGCTGCTGCTTTTTGCTCTGGAGCCACGTGGTTTCCTTTTGCTGTGTCTCATGCTGGGGATGCTGCTTCCACAAGCAAACAGGATTGCCTGGATGGTCCCCAGCAAGCTCGACTCTCTTCTCTTCCCTTCTTCCATGCTCTACTCACTCCCCGGCTTACCTTTTGTTCTCTGCTGGTCGCTATCCTGCACTGGATTGGCTGGCCTCTCTGACCCACAGCTGTTTTCCCTCCCTGCTTTGCAGCTTGCTCCACTTGCTGTTCTCCACTGGTTGACTTTGCTGCCTGCAGTCGGTTTGCCTCTACTCACCTCACATTGATGGGCCTTCGGTCTCTTGGGTAGGCCTCGTGTGCAGCTGGGTTTCTCTCAGGCTTCTCGTGTATAGCTGGGCTTCTGTTACTTTCAATTTCTCCATGCTTTCTCTCCTTTTCCTTTCTCTAGTCTTTTTTTCTTTTTCTTTATCTTTCCCTCTCTACCTCTTCTCCTACCATTTTATTTTATTTTAGCAGCAACTTTTCACCAATGATGTGACTATGCTTCCTCCATTGTCACCATCTTGGATTGGTAAGTGGCATTCAAAGATCCGAAAAGCAGACCCTGCACTTGCGGCAATACACTAGGAAGAAGAAGATTCAATAGTTTGCAAAGTCTATTGAGTCTCTTTTGTCTGGTGTTGGCATAATTGATCTCTTCCATCCTGTTGGCCGCTGCTGTTTTCCAGATATGTTGGTATATTTGGCTATATTGCAGAATTAATTAAGCTAGAATTCTCAGCTCAAGATCCATGTGAATAGGATTATTATTTCCTTGCATAAATTGAAAGGAATGTAGAAAGTAGGAAGGAAATTTGTTCCCCAAAGATAAACATTGGAAAAAGTAACGAAGTAGCTTATAACCTAACCATCTTTTTTCTGTGATTATATTTGTTTTAATTGTTAAACACTATTTGTTCAGGGTAAGTAAGATTGTTCTGAAATTACCCTGTATCTTTTAAGTAAATTTGAGGCTTCCTTTTCTCATGACATTTTCTTTTTTATTTCTAGAAAAAAATGAGTGGAGGATTAGCACCAAGCAAAAGCACAGTTTATGTATCTAATTTGCCCTTTTCATTGACAAACAATGATTTGTACAGAGTAAGTGTACTTAAAATTAAACATTAGAATAGACTCTACCTGATTGTGTGAATAATCATTGAACATTTATATTTACTTCTGTGTTCTGTGAAGAATTTATTTTCCTGTTTTTATAGCTAATCTAAATAACTATATTTTTTCTGTCTTTTCAGATTTTTTCAAAATATGGGAAAGTAGTTAAGTAAGTATAAATATCGAATTGTATGTAGCATATTCTTTAATGCTGTGTCTAGTAATACCAACACCCCCGATTTAACAAGATCTTTTCTTGTGTGTAATTTTCGTGTTTATTTGTAATATTACTGCCACACCTGGTATGAAGAAGTTTCTCTAACAATATTGTATTCATAGGTTGTGCTTTTCTAGGAGGGGAGAATTCTTCAAAAGTGCTTATTTTACCATTTCTGTGTCGTGGTATTTATATTACATTTAGGGGTTATGTTGTAAAAATATAGTGCCATACTACATATATATCCAGATGCAAGTGGTCAGGCAGATACTAGCCAAATGAACAAATGGGCCTCCCAGCGTGGAAACAAAAATATAACCGATCAGCTGACAAGAAATCGGACCACGTCTCGGTAACAACAGCCAGCCATTCAAACTATCAAACAAGCCAAAACCAGACCATGACTCAGAAGCACCTACATAAACAATTCTAATGCTAATCTGCATCTCACAGATGGTAATTAACTATAGTCCAGCAACAACAGCCAGCCAATCAAACAGTCTGAAATCAGACCATGACTCAGAAATATCCGAACAAACAACATTCAGACTAATTTGCATCTCATAAAAAACAATAGAATTTAAAGACCTGTGTTCTGACAGATGAGCACAATTCAAAATCCATTGAAGATATTTCACCAAATTGTAACGAAATGTTTGCAACCAAATTGGCAAGCTCGGCACTCAAACCAATAAATAAATTGTGGAACATTATTAGAAGAAAAGGTAATATTCATTCCCTCCCTCCCTCCCTCTCTCTCTCTCTCTCTCTCTCTCTCTCTCGTATATCTGATCTTGCTCACTAGCAAGATTACTGAATGATATTGAGAGTTCCACTTCACCAATATCTGTATGGTCCCTATTCCTTATGGCTTGGCTTTGGATATTTAGGAACAATTATTCTTATATCTAAACTATTTTTTGGTTCCTGAAATAAACTTACAGAAGATTGTTGCCCAAATCTTCTACACTATTGAGGAAGCATTTGGTAGATCCATCCTTTTAGAGGTTTTGGGGAGAAATGATCAGAGACTATGCCCAATATAAATTGTAGTTTTTTCATCCACATCAGTTCTAAAACTGAATCCAGATAATACATTTTTCTGTGTCTACCAGGGACATGCAGTCAGGGGAGGCAGAGCCTTACCACTGTTATCATGAAAAGAAAAAAAATGTAAAAGGAAAAAGGCTGAGCTAGTTGCTGCCAGTCACAGTGGAAGACTCGCCTTAGTGCTTA